GTGTTATCATCTTAAATCACCTCACAAAATGGTAAGTGCTTCAGACTGAGCATAGCAAAACTATTGATCTGTGAAAGCTACACCAATTTTTCCCCCCTCAAACTCCCTATATGTCCTCCTAATTTTTTTTTCTTCCTCCCTTGCATCCCATTGCCTGAAATAAGACACTGGCAAGGAAGAGAAAAAAGAAATCAACATACGTCCTTTTCATCCCCACCTTACATGCACTGGTCTATGGAATCACAGTTAAAAAATGTCTACAGCTTATATCACACAACACAACCTCTGCCATTTATTGGTGCAATGTGTACATCTAAAGTCTAACCTGATCACTAACAATTCCTGACCTTAGCAATTTACCTGAAACAGCTCATCTACCACACCAAGTTCAATCAGAGTAGAGGGGAGCAGAGTTACTGTATAAGATTGTAGTGGACCTAGACAGAAATGAGAGAGAAATGATATAAGAGAAGACTCATGTTTGGTTTTGTCTGAAGGGTCCTTAGAATTGTCTCCATCATCCGCACCGGGCTAATGAGATGCTGCGGGGAGTCTTAGAGACTGTCTCCCTGGACCATGGAGAAGCCGACAGCTAGCGAAGTCAAGTGATTTGCTCAGTGACACACAGCTCGTTAGTGGCAAAGCCAGGCCAGGCTCTTCTGCCTTCACAACTATTTATTTTATTCTTACAACTTGACCTTCATTTGTAAGAATGGATAAGAAATATATGCCAACATTTGGTAAAACTGAAAAGAAAGCCACAATCTAAACCCAAAATATTTCAACTTACATACAAGTCTAAAAATAGGAATTTTTTTTTAACCAGTTCATTTACCATGTTCTATACTAAAATTAAAGGCAGATACAGGAGTAAGGTGGCAAGAGCTATTAGGAGAAAACCTTCCTGCCCACTTAAAAACAAATCAAAGCTCTGCAGGCAAGGAACCCTGAGCATTTGAAAATGTCAGTGCCCTTGCACTCTTCTGACTGGGTCCCAGTGTGATCGAAGGGGATGGACAAAACAGATTCTGAAGAAAGATTTGAGAAAAAGTCAGATGGCAAGCTACCTTCTGAATTAAGGAAAATAAATCCTTATAAAGAGGAGGCCAGGGGAAGTGGGTGAAAGACAAAATACAAGCCTAGTTTCCACAGAATGAAGAGATCATATAAATGAGCAGGCAGAGTTAATAAAAAATATATGCTGGGGGCTCTTCCAGTTCTTTTCAATTCCTGGTTAATTAAGCAACTATAAAAAAAAACTCTCAGCTTTACTCATGCTTCTGTGTGCTTCCCCCACTCCTAAATTTAATAGTTAGACGTGGGCAGGAGGTAAGATGTAAGCTGTATCAGTCTTACCTATCACCACATAGCTGTCAACTCGTGAAAAAGAAAATGTGGAGAGAAAATACTTTAAGAAATAGATTGGCAAAGAAATAGCTCATCAGCAAGTCCTGTCAGCTCTGCCTACCTACAAAATAGATCCCTAATCTTTACACTAGTTCTCTTGTCTTCCCTCTGCATTACTGCCGCCAATCAGGGTGTGGTTTTTTTGTTTTTGTTTTTGTTTTTTTGCTGTTACACTCCCTCCCAATCTCTGGGGGGGTGGGGGGGGTGTATAACACATCAAGTCATTCTCCAGCCCAAAGCTCTCCAAAAGCTTCTTGCCACTTATAATAAGACCTAACTCGCTACAGTGACGCTAAATTCCCTATTACTCCCTACCCATCACTCTCCACCCCACCCCCAACTTTATCTCCCTCCCAGAACTCTGAAGGTCACCATGTTCTCTAACAGGCCTTCATTCTGGTCCCCAATTACACCAAGCTCCTTTGCAACCAATACTGGTTAAAATCAGGGCACCCGAAACTCTTTTTAACAACCTTAGGGCGGCTTCCAAGACTTGGAGTGTTTTAACTTCAGGTATTTCCATAATTTCCTTAATATTCAGGAGCAGCTCACATGTCATCCCTGACAACCCAATTTAAAGTAACACTACAGCCAAAACCGGTTTGGCTCAGTGGATAGAGCATCGGTCTGCAGACTGAAGGGTCCCAGGTTCAATTCTGGTCAAGGGCATGTGCATTGCCTTCGGGCACGTCCCAGATAGGGGGTGTGCAGAAGGCAGCTGGTGGATGTTTCTCTCTCATCGATGTTTCTAGCTTTCTATCCCTCTCCCTTCCTCTCTGTTAAAAATCAATAAAATATATTTAAAAAAAAAACAAACAAAAAAAAACTTTAACATGCAAAAGATTCAAAGGCAGTAGGTTTCCACACGATCTGGGAATCTGCACGTTCAACAAACATCCCCAGGTAATTCTGACACAGGAGTCTTTGGAAACTTTGTACTCTGGCTGAACAAGGAATAGCAAAGGCCTGAGGGGCGGCATTATCAGGAAGATGATTTAACCAATAAAAATCTTTTTTATCTCTACCTTGAAACTGATTCTCAAGACAAGGCAAATTCCATTTTAATTCTTGCTGAACATTATTTAAATTCATAGATCTTTACAGCTTTTAACCATTTTTAAACTATACTATTATAGGACAAGTACAATGTTCTGCACACTATTATCAGTGTTTTACACATTATCGTATTATCCCATTTGAATAGATGAGTTTCATTTAAATAAGTACAGACAACTATTAAGATGTGACAGCTTCAGAAATCAAACACATCTGTATGTTACTAAGGGCTGTACCCTATGGAGTCTATACCTCCACTAATTACAGAAGTAAAACCAATAAATAAAAATCCAGATTTGTAAATGAAGGGAGAGGATTTTTCTCCTAAATACTCCTCACTTTTTAGAAAAAGAATTCCTGGGATTTCATTAGTTGGTGAACTTTGACAATACATTTAAATACCTTAAAAATGGTATGGCAAACTCTGAAAATGAATTAATCTCAAGAGTCCTTTTCTAAAACAAATAGTCACCCTGTCAATCTAAATCACCAAATATTAAGAACTGATTCAATATTTAAAGATCTAATATTGGTTCTAGACTGATAATCAAGAATCATTCAGGGAACAGCTTAAAATTAAAATTCTAGGTTCGCTCCAGTTCTGAATCAGAATCCCTGTGATGTGATCTCCAAATCTTCACTTTTTAAAAGAATATTTTTTTATTGATTTCATAGAGCAAAGGAGAGGTAAAGAGAGACAGAAACATCAATAATGAGAGAGAATCATTGATCAGCTGCCTCCTGAAAGTCCCCCAATGGGGATAGAGCCCACAACCTGGGTATGTGCCCTCACCGGAATCCAACCAGTGACCTCCTGATTCATAAGTCTATGCTCAACCACTGAGCTACACTAGCAGGACCCAAATATTTACTTTTATAAAGCTCCCTATGGGCTTCTAATAAATAACCAGGGTTTTGAACGACTGTCACCCTAACCTCAGCAGGCTACAAGTGAATAAATTAAGATCTAAAAAGGTAGGGTCTGCCTAAAGACAAAGTAGCACTGTAAGATAGAAAAACAATATCCTCCACATTTGGTGCTTTTTAACACCAATTCATGCTACTGGTTTTGGTAAAACTGTATGCTCTACTGTTATGCGCTGCAACTTAGCCTCCTGCAACTTACTCCCTCATCTGCAAATTGGGAATAATGGTGCTTGCTGTGAGGATTAAACAGTATAGCATCCATTAGGAAATGCACTTAACACAGTGCTAGCATATCCTGAGTGCTCGTTATTTAGATTGCAGGACTTCCTATAAAAAGCATGCCGTTTTTAACTGGAAAGGATTTACTGAACCACTCCAACTGCAAAATGAACAAGAAGCCTATGTTTAACTTGGGAAGTCCAAAAGGATTTTGAACTCAGAGTTAAGAGCTTGCCTGACTGTCACAGGATGCGTCATAACCGTCTTCTAGTGCATTAATCTCTGCATGGCGGCCAGCAATCTGTATTTTTTAAAGCTTCCTCCCTCACCCCTGCCCCGCCAAAACTAGGTGCTTCTTCGGCAAACCCAGGTTTGATCAACATTAGTGTACAGGACCCGTGACCACAGAGGGGGAAAAAAAAAAAAAAAAAAAAAAAAGACTGCTCTGTAACCAGAAGAGGAGCGTCATCAGACACTGATGCAAACAACAGCTGGGGACAGCTGTGCAGAGTCGTCACTGTGACCACCAGGGACGGCCTCGACCCCTCTCCTCTCCTAAGAAACTTAAAAAATTAGGAAAGTGCCCTCCCATACTTTCCGCAGCCCGCAGTGCAGCCTAGGAGGCCACGAGGGTGCTAACGTTAACCCGGCGGCTTCCTTCCCGGGAGTGAGGCCAGAGAAAAAGCGACGCTGGATGGCTGACCAAGTCTGCGCGGCGTCAAAAGGTTATCGACCCTCTCGGCCTGTTCCTGGGGGTGGCCAACAAGCCTCCACCAGGCTGCCAGCCACCTGCCGGAAGTGCGTCATCCCAGCCCGAGGGGCTGCCGGGAGTTGTAGTTAACTGGCTTCGTCTCTTGCGCCCAATTCGTCTTTTTTTTCAAATACTCAAAACACCTTAGACCTGGAAGGAGAGTCGCTTTATGACCAACAAAACGAATCCTCCTTTTTTTCCCCCCAGCTGACAGAGGAACTCCACTCGGAGCCCTTGCGGACTACCGAACTACAAGTCCCAGCATGCTTTGCAAGGCGCTCGAAGTGCCCGTCCACCATCATAGGTAGGGGCCGCATCAATGGAGCCTCGGGCTTAAGGCAAAGCCCGCCACGGTCCGCCAGGCCGGTACCTGATCCAGGATCGCGGGCGCCGGGCATGGGCCGGGCGCGTGCGCGCTCGAAGGGGGCGTGAGGCAGCATCGCCCGGCCGTTGCCAACGCGCGGCTGCAAGAGGTTAGCGGCCGCGGTGCCCCGCGCGCCCTACGAGCCGGTCGTTGCGGGGGGGCTTCCCGCCCCGGGTGCGCGCAGCCGTGGCGGCCGCAGGTGACCGCAAGGGGCGGAGGAAAGGAGGGGGCCGGCCCCGGCACTCGGAGGATCCGCCGTGCGTGCCCCGAGACAACATGGCCTCCCTGATCCAGCGGATCGCCCGCCAGGCGTGCCTCACCTTCCGAGGCCGCGGGGGCGGCCGCGGCGCTTCCGACCGCGGCGCGGTGCCAGGCCCCGAGGCGCCGGCGCCGCAGGGCTTCCCGGAGAACCTGAGCCAGCTGAAGAGCCTGCTCACCCAGATCCGCGCCGAGGACCTGAACATCGCCCCGCGCAAGGCCACGCTGCAGCAGCAGCCGCTGCCCCCCAACCTGCCGCCCGTTACCTACATGCACATCTACGAGACGGACGGCTTCAGCCTCGGCGTGTTCCTGCTCAAGAGCGGCACGTCCATCCCGCTGCACGACCACCCGGGCATGCACGGCATGCTCAAGGTGCTCTACGGCACCGTGCGCATCAGCTGCATGGACAAGCTGGAGGCCGCCGGCGGGCAGCGGCCGCGGGCCCCGCCGCCCGAGCAGCAGTTCGAGCCGCCGCTGCAGCCCCGCGAGCGGGACGCCGTGCGGCCGGGCGTGCTCCGCTCGCGGGCCGAGTACACCGAGGCCAGCGGCCCCTGCGTCCTCACGCCGCACCGGGACAACCTGCACCAGATCGACGCCGTGGACGGGCCCGCCGCCTTCCTGGACATCCTGGCCCCGCCCTACGACCCCGACGACGGCCGGGACTGCCACTATTACCGGGTGCTGGAACCCGTCCGGGCCCCGGGGAGCCCCGGATCCACCACCTGTGACCTGCCCCGAGAGGTGTGGCTCCTGGAGACCCCGCAGGCTGATGACTTCTGGTGCGAGGGGGAGCCCTATCCAGGTCCCAAGGTCGTCCCTTGAAGGAGCCGCAGGTCCCCCCCATCCCCCAGGAGCGGGGAGCTGAAGACATGCCTGCTCTCAGATCTGGCTGGGCCTGGCTGCCAGCAACCCACCCCACCACAAGGGCTCTCTCCCTACCCCCAGGCCACCTGGGCATTGGATCTACTGGAGTGGGCTGCGGTGCTGCTTCGGGAGCCTTTGGTTAGCGCGGGCGACTGGACTGCAGCCACCGCTGGGCACGGTTATGGGGGCGGGGGAGGCTGGGCTGTTTCCTGGCTTTGTCACTGCCACCAGGGTTTTGATTTGGGGGGGAGGGGAGCAGGGGGGACTCTCTGAAGCGCTTCCATCCTAAAGCCATAATGAAAAATATTCTTCTTTTGTTCCCATTCTATACAAAATACACACGGAAAGGTTTTCTACCCCCCATCGCCTTGGCCTTGGGTAAATAGGGCTTGTTTTCCACTTAATGTCCTTTATGCCCTTTGCTCCTTGTTATAGTTTTATTGATTGCGTGGCCCGGTGGCTTGAATTGTTCTTAGTTCAAGTCGTTGGTCAAAACTTGGGTTTAGAGAGATGAGCTGCTTTTTAAGTGAGCTGCCCTGCCTGGTTAATTCGTTGCCAAAATGAAATCATTTTCCCAGAGTTGGGGGATCATCCCCAGAACATAACTATGCATGCAGAGGACAAGATTTTCTTTCCTCCCCTTGCCCAGTAGCCGGTTTACTCCGGCAGCATCTGCTCAGAAATTCACACCTGCATTCCTCAGTGACAAATTGCCATATAGAGCTTATCTTCCTGGGGAGTCCCCAGATCTGTGAGTTGAGCAGATTTCTTGCTGCAGATTCACCTTGAATGCAAAAATCATATTACCGTCGGGTGACTTTCTTTGGCATAGTATAAGGTGGTGGGGTGATTCTTTATTTTCTAACTAGAAGATTCAGTGGTACTGAATCAGTATGCTTCCAAACAACTGAATGTAAAACAACCCCTGCCAGCTATTGAACTCCATGTCCCTATTTACTTCCAGTATTTTCCTGCAAAAGTAGAGGGAAATGTTGACGAGTGTTCAGATCCTCTCACACCTAATGTTCCAGAGAGCTGGTGTTCCAGCTGCGTTGTTGGTGGCCCTGTTCTCAGAACCCTCTCCCTCAAGCAGGAGAGCCCAGAGCTTGCTTCATCCACTGGTGACCCAGGCTCTGCATTTGAGAATCAGTTATTCTGCTGGCCATTTTAGGGCACTAAAAATCCCCACTCCCAGCCTCTTGACCAGTTGTGCTATCTGTAACTAGTTTTATTTTTGTCCTTTAAATAGTCTGAGCGACTTGACCTTGTTTACAAACACATTGACACCATTTGCTTCCGGCCCTGAAGCACTATTGTTTTCCCCCTTTTTACTATTTATAGGATTCCTTTTATTTCACAAACTTAATAACAAATTGTAGAGATGAACACATTAAAATTTGCCCAGCTGTTGTCTAAGCCCTCTTGATTGACTTGCCCATGTGGCAGTCCACTTCTATATAATATCTGTAATAGAGGGAAATTTGCTATTGGTGGAAAGTGCGGACCCTGTAGGAAAACAGTATGTGCCTTTGCCTTTTTGTGCATACTGGGTTACAGAGGCCCAGTGAAGAGATATTTGTTTCCCAATTTTTTAAATAGAATGAAAAGGCAAATTCTCAATGAATTATTTACAAAAAAAAAAAAAAAGATGCTTATTCAAAGCAACATGCCACTGTTATAAATCCTGACACAGGCATAACACCAAGAATGTTCTCCAGTTACTAACACTGTTTTATGGTAGCTTTACATTCTGGTGTAATTTAATAATAACTTACAGTTTAATATAACTGCAGTATGAAGCAGTTCTTCATGCATTCAGTTTCAAAATAAGTTCTAGATATACAAACGATTTTCTTAGAAAACTTCACCAAACGGGTGTTTTTCATGGCACAGTATGAATGTGTTTGGTTAACAATCACATACCTACCTGTTTTGAATTATATTGTAGCAAAAAGTTAAGATTAACTTATTAAGACTGTGGATAGTAACGTGGATGTTATCCTACAACCTAGAGTACATTAAATTAACCATTCTGGCAGTAGCATAATAATAAAGGAGAAAAGTTTTTCCAAACTTCACTATGAGAAATCTTAAAAGTTCTCAACTATAAGCAAGTTGAATGAAAAAAACTAAGGTGCTTTTCAAAAGAATAACTGAAATTGTTGCAGGCCAGAACAGCAATATGATATATCTAACTTAGTTCAAGAGGAACAGTGAAACTTTTGGTTCACTAATACATTCTGAATAAATTAATGGTGAACACAAAATGTAACCTGTTTTAATGAGCCACTAAGAAAAGACTATTATTACAAAGACGAATGTGCAGAAAAACCTTGCACTTTTCTGCAAAAACTGTTAGTCATGAGTGACCTCATGGGCTGCTATTGTGTTTCCATGTATTCCTGCAATAGTCTGTTTTAGTAACAACTGTGGGGAAAAGTTGTCTTCCCTACAAAGATTAATGAGCACAATGATACTAACCACTTAACTTTTCTGTTGCATAACATTCAATAATTGCCTCCCATGGGTAAGAAATTGTCTGTCTAATACTTCAATACTTCTAAAGCTCTTTAATTTTCTGGTTGTATCAATAGCCACTTATATCAATGGAGAGTATTATCTACCTACCACATTATGAGAATTGATTTTTTTATTAAGCCTGATTTGCATGGATTGTTTATACCAATTGCTGTTTATTAATGAAAATGGTGAGCCTATTTTCAAAGTAACGTGTGTTTGTCAACAGGAGTGGGTCTCTGACCTTTTAACATTAATATCCTCTAACTTTTCCCAAAGTTTTCACCTGGTATCCTCCTTTTGCATTGCCCACTTGTAGGTACCTCAGTCTTGGCTTCCCAGGAGGACTCTGCCACTCACTCATCTTTTCCAAATGACTTTGAATCTTGTGCTATGGCTCTACAGCTTGATGAAGAAGCAATATACCTCTAACCCAGGGCTCTGCCCATTGCTATTGAACTCTAACATGAGGATAGTAACGCTCATGTAACTCTCCTGGTCTGAATTCGGGACCTCTGATCCCTTTAGTGCAGTGAGGCCTCTACTATCAAAGAGGGAAATCCTTTGTTAAGCCCCATATAAATACTGAATCTTCAGATCCAGAGATGTTTACATTTCTGGATTAAAATCAGTGTACTTATGGAAAATAAAGGCATGTTTGAAATCGTTTGTAGGTAAGTCTTACTTGATTATTGCAAAATAGAGAAGGAAAATATTACTTGCTACAAATGACTCCATTTTTACTAGCTGTTAGAAGTTCATGGTCTATACTGTAAGTTGATGTACCAACAACTGGTGGCCTGCAGAGTCTAAAGTTTAAAATTTCCTTGAGAGTGAGCTTTGAAACAGTTGATTGAAAACATAATCTGAAACTATTTAATGTTTAATCATACTACTTTGCTGCAACAGAAAATGTTTTCTATTTAATTTAAGGAAAAACTTGTACAAGGAAACAAAAGTATTTTTATCCATAAAGGAAAGAACCTTTGGATTTAAATATTTCCTTGTCTTTCCTTTTACTGTAAAATTTGTTTAATTGTTTAGAGTGGAGGCACTTTAGGCACTTGAGATGATGCTGACCATTCTTTCTCTCACACACATTGTATTGAACTGTTAAAACAGCACTACAGTCATTTTTAATATATACCTAACAGTGTGCCTTAATTAGCAGTTTAGGATATTGAAATTAAATAGCCTTGTTTATGAATAATTAAAAACCTTATTTAGGTTTAATCTGTTTTTGAATGCTTACTGAACCATCTCAAGTGCATTATGATCTTTAAGGAATTGCTCTCCAGAAGTTTATTTTTAATAAGAATTCCCAGTAGCAGTTGAAACATCAATAGTATTATTCAATAAAGCAATAAGAAGGAACTAACTTAACTTTATATGCTTTATTTCTTGAGCAAAATAAAAAATGAGATACCAGTGACAACTACTGAACGTGTCAAGCCAAAAGTAAAACCCATTAAAGATTGACCTAACATGTTGAAATCAAGGAGTAAAAGTCATAAGGTTGACTCAAAAAGCACCTTACAGTATATTATTCCACTTCACCAAGCCCATGTCAGTGTAAAAGTGATTATATAACCGATTTGACTCATAAAATGTATTTCATGTTACTTTTTTTAGAAAAGCTTTTTTAGTCTTGCAAACTTTATATTATCTTGACTAAAGTTACTCTAAAATTAAAATTTGGCAAGACACTCAGATCTTATAAAACTTAGGTGTGCTATATATTAATATAATGAAATTTTGGTAGGAGGGAAGTCTTCATTAAAAACAATTATAAAAATGAGGCATGGTTTTGAAAGTGTCAAAATCAGCCAAGCTAGGAAATAGGAACCTAAGAATTAACACCAGTCACTAGAAAATCTAACACCGAAGTGTAGAAACTTCTGTTTAGTGGTTATGGAAAGAGGTATTGTACATCTTTGAAATTTGAACAGGGAAAAACTAAGAAAAGGGTTAATTACTTCCACATATTAGAACTCAAATTCTAGTGCTAGTAAGGACGAAAAGTAGCTTCTGGGAGTAGCTATTGCTCTCTCTGCTAAAGTACAGGCAAACAGTTAGCCAGGACTAACAGGTCAGGGTTTTCAGGCAGTGTAGCTGAATAGTCATCCCTCCAATGTGTTGTTACACTTGTATAAGGATCCAGAAGCAGTGGGTAAAGTTAAGTAGACCCAATTTTAGAGAAACATAAGTTCATATAGAATTTTTTTTTTTTGTGGCTTTAGATTTTATAATCACTGCAAAAGTCTTGCAGTAAAATGAACCCCATAATTTTCTCTTGCAAACCATCATCCAGTACCATGGAGGACAGTGTTTGCCTATTTAATTCAAATTCTCTTTGAAATTTTAGGGTTGGTGTACACCTACCTTATCTAATGAGCTGAGTATTTTGGTAATCTCTAGACCCACCAAACCTATGGCAGATGAATGATCCTTCCCAATGGGGCTAATCAGGGAGAGATGTGTCTGGGGTAATTTCTTTGGTGACCCATTAACACCGTCATCAGCAGTGTCTGAATGCATTTTTGATCTGAAGAGGTGATACTGTTTTTCAAAAAGCTTTCTGTGGTCATGAGACTAATCCAGGAACCTGAAAGTCATTCCCAGTTTGGCCACGCCACCACACTTTCCACAAAGCCACATTTCACCTAAGAGCCTGCCCCTGGTCAGGTTTCTGAAAGCAGTTGCAAGCGTGCAGTTTCTGAGTGGGCACTGGTTAGTAAGTATTTATTTTCCGGAGCCCACTCAGGAGTGGTGAGAAGCTATAGGCTGTGGTAGAAGACAGAACAATGAGTCAAAGGAACGCCTCCCTACTTTTACACCAATGTAATGGGGAAATCCCCTGAACACCAGCTTTGGTTATGAATGAAGATTGCTTTGGGGCGAGAGGGCTGATGTTGAAAGGCTAGCAAAGAAAACTTGGATATCCTGGCTTGGTCAAAGCACTAAAAAAACACTGCATGACTATTGAATTTCCATCCAGCAAATCTTTCAGAAATGATTTCTAGAGCAGAAATATTGTTGAAAAGTATTTATTTACACTATAGTTATAAACCATCCATTATCTGAACTTCCGTTAGTGGTTTTTGTGTTAGAATAAATCATTTATGTTTCCACAACTATTAAAAGCTAATAACCAAACAAGTCAGTTCAGCAACATTATTTACATTCTTAACTGCAATTTGACTACAAAGGTAACACTTTTAAGTCACAAAACAGAGCATACAAAAATATACTTTCTAAAAAAAAAAAAATCCAAATATTAATAGGCAGATATATACAGCCATCCTAAACCCAGGGAGTGATTTTTTTTTTCATAGTAAGGCAACCCATTTACATGCAGACTCTGTAACATTGTCTACATCACACAAGGCACCAAGGACACTTCCAACACAACTGCATGCATCCTAGCTTCAGAGAATATATGTACATCCCTTTTAAATAAGTTAACCTCCGACTCACTTCAAGAGGTCATAAATGCTTTACTTTTTTTTTTTTTCCCAAAGGTTCAGAACTTGGAGTACAGTGCACATCAAAAATACACAAAAATCTGAGTGGATATACACTGCAAAAATAATCTTTACGTTTCTCAAACAATTCAAAAAGGAGCAGGTATTGCTATGTCCCTCCCATCACATTGCACTTTCCTTCTCTGAGTCTATAATACATATTGCTTAAAGGGTTGAGAGGACTAGATACACACTCTGATTCACTGATCCAGGGCCACACATGGCCGCATAAAGACCATGCGTTCCTCGTTTGTACGGCGTCCCCCAAAATCAATCCCAAGCCATAAAGTGCATGTCAGTTTTGCTTCTGTCTTTGCTGCTCCCCCCACCGGAAAGAATCAGCATCTCCCAACCTACTGTAGAAAACGTCTCAGGTCAACTCTGACACTCAGAGTCAAACACCTGTAAATTGATCAAAATAAGACAGGGGTGGGGGGGGGACACCTAGCCAGACCACCCTTGAAAGCAGGGTTAGGCCTCAGCCCTCTAGGCCAGGGACTCCCACCAAGCCTCCTTCCAAACCTCTCCAGAGCCTTAGGTGACAGTCAACTCACCAAAGAAAGACTAAGGTGGGCCAACGGGTAGGAAGGACCTGCTCCTAAATGGAAAGGGGGCAGTGCTGGGCTCCACCAAGGCCCTTTGCCCAGAGAAGGGAGAGGGGGGCAGGAGAGGGTGGTAGTGTTTGTTGTGCAGCTCCAGCGGACCCAGGGCCTCTGGGACATCGAGAAACTGTCAGCCTGAGTCTGGTCTCAAGGTGTCCTGGTCCTAGAGGAGCAAGTGGCCAGGGACCCTCCTCCCATGGCGCCGCTGTTACTGCCGCCGCACAGGGGCCCTCCGGCCTGCGTGCCCCCAGGGCACGAAGAAGCCATGGAAGCAGCGGGCACAGACGAGGAGGAGGGAGCGCTGCCTTTGCGCTCCTTCTGTCTCAGGTGGATCTTGGTGTGGCGCTTCCTCTCGTCACTCCTGGCAAACTTGCGGCCACAGTAGTCACAGGCAAAGGGCTTCTCGCCCGTGTGCGTGCGGATGTGGGTGGTGAGGTGGTCGCTGCGGCTGAAGTTGCGCATGCAGATCCGACACTGAAAGGGCTTGTGCCCGGTGTGGATGCGGATGTGCCGGGTCAGCTCGTCGGAGCGGGAGAAGCGCCGGTCACAGCCCTCCGCCGGGCACGGGTAGGGCCTCTCGTGCACCGGTGTCTTGCTGGGCCTGTTGGGGTACTTGCGAGGCCTCAGGATGGGCCGCAGGGGCAGGTGGTGAGGGTTATAAGCGGCGGCAACAGCAGCTGCTGCGGCCGAGCTGCTGCTGGGCATCCGGGGTCCCTCGCTGCCTCCACTGGCCCCTGGCCCGGTGGCCCCGACACTGGGGCCCCCCAGAGTGAAGTTGCGGATGGTGGAGAGTGGGGTGAGCGGAGGCGGGACCCGCAGGGAGTCCAGGGGGCAGGGGAAGGGCTTGCGGTCTGGGCCAGCTGCACCGTGTAGGTCCCTCTGGCACTGCGACGGGAAAAATCCAGGGTAGTCTGGGATCATGGGGAAGAGGCCCTGGTCCGTGGTGGGCTTGGGGGATGGGTAGGAAGGAGGCGGCGGGTAGCCCAGAGAGGAGGCGGTGGAGGTGGTGCTTGGGGACAGGAACGCGGAGGGGTCCTGGTAGAGGTCCCCGGTGCAGCCGGAATAAGGAGGCGGCGGCGGTGGCGGCGAGTAGAGGTGGTCCAGGTCGGGCTGGGTCTGGGACATGGTGCACACGCCCAGGGGTCCGGCGCCCAGCGGGTTGGGGGAGGCAGAGGTGACACTGGATGAGGCTGTCGTCGAAGCTGGGGAAGTGACCCCTTGAAGGATGCCTGCACTCACAATGTTGATGATGCCTTCCGGGTAGCAACTGGCACCGGCGTACTGGGGGTCGATGGAGAACTTGCCCATGTACGTGAAGGTCTGGTTTCGGGGTGCGGAGACGGGAGCAAAGCTGCTGTGATACGGGAGATCCAGGGACCTCTTCTCTCCAGTCATGTCAATGTTGATCATGCCATCTGGGGAGAAGGAAGAAGGGAGGTGGAGCAGTGAGAACGCAGCCAAGAATCCCTTCTCACCCCCTCTCACCCGGGTCCATATGATCATCTTAAGCACTTTAGGGTTGGGGAGGGAAATTGCTACCCAGAGACCCCACTGTGGCAGTCAGGACAGTCCGGGGCTCAAACTACCTCCAGGAAAGCAGGATGGGCTACTCTCAATCCAGCCTTCCCTCTTCCCCATACACACAGCCATCTGTGGCTCTAGTCCCCAATAAAAACACCCAATAATAGCAACAACATTAAAAAGTCCTCATCGGCCTGAACCGTCTCTCCCTCTCCTTTGCCCGGGGATCCCACGGCTGCGGCGCCGGGCAGACACCTCCCAGGCAACAGATCCCAACAGATCGCAGCCAGTGCCGCCAAGTTGCAAGCCCTAGAGGGGAGCCCAAGAAAAAAGGGTCCTCGATTTCCCGGCTGCTCCCCATCTCTGGTGCCTTCCCTCTCCCCATCCCTTTCTTGCTGCGCTCCTGCAGAAGGCTGCCGGAGGGGATCGGCGCTGCGGTGGAAGGAGTTCATGGGTTTCCTTTCCCTTCCAATCTGGCCCCACACCCGCACATCCCCGGCCCAACCCGGGGCCAGCTGGGCTGCGGGGTTTCCAGAAAGGCGCGGGGGGGGGGGGGGGGGGGCGGGGCGGGACACCCCTTTTCTCCGCAAGAAAACCAGCGGCGGGCGCGGGTGTCTCCCAGGGCCTCGCTGGAAGCCACTTCCCGCCGTGTCCTGCCCTCCTCCTCATCCTTCTCCTCCGCCCCCTCCTCCCGGCCTCGCCAGCCCCCTCCACTTCGCGGGCGAGCGCACAGGTGGGGGCGCTCCCCAAGGCCGCGCCGGGAGCGCGTTCCGAGGCTCCCCCGCGTCTGCGCCGCCGGGGAGCGAGCGGCGGGCGCTTTCCTCCGGACCTGTGCCGCCGCTCGGCTCTCCAGGCGCGCAGCTCTCTCCTCCAAAAGCCCCGAACTTTCTCGTCATTTTTCCCCTCCCCGGGGAGAGGGGAGGCCGGGATGCCGCCTGCCGATGGGCCAGCACGGGTCCCCAAGTCTGGCGGATGCATCGCTTCCACTCTCCCGCCTGAGCCCCCCGGGAACCGGGCGCGCGCGGCGCACGCCAGCGGCTGGTTCGCTGGCGACCCGGTCCCTCCGCCCGCGCGCCCGGCTCCAGCATCCGGATCCCCACGCCCAGGGGTTCCTCTCCTGCACCCACTTCCAGTCTCCCAAGGCGGTTCTGTCCACACCGATCCCCCTCTCGCCCAACTCCTCTCTCCTCCAAGCCCTGCACATGTACGGCACCCCACCCACAGCCCCCCGGGTGGCGTGGGTCCCCGGTGCGCGAAGAAGGAAACACGCGCGCGCGGCTTACCTCCGGCCACTCCGTTCATCTGGTCAAAGGGGCCTCCCAGCTCGGCATTGGGGAAGATGGTCACCGACGTGGCGAGGTCCTCCACCGGGTAGATGCTGTCGGGCAGCTGGTGCACAAAACCACCGAGAGTTACTGGGATTTTGTCTAAGGCCTTGGCGGTCATCATTTGCTCCTCGCGCAACCTGGAGACCCGACTCCCTCGCTACCTGGGGTGCCAGAGAAGCCGTGTTGGAGAGGGGTTGGACGGAGCCTTAGGCTGGTATCTCCTTGTGCCCTCCACACTTAAAAGCAACCCCCAAAAAAAGAAAGAAGGGGGGGAAAATCCAGGAGCAATAAAAAAAACCAGCAAACAAGTTGCTGTCTTTTTTTTTTTTTAAGAAGAAAAAATGGCTTATGTGCCACGGACTCTCTCCTGCGTTCCGGCTGGGAAGCCAGGAGCTGCTGGTGTAGTGTTATGATCACAGTGTGTCCCCTCGCCGAGCTATTAATCAATTGCCGCTCTCTGGGTTAGACGGAAAGTGTGGCTCTAAGTATTTATGGGCAGGTCCTCAATGCCCGTGACGTCGCTGCCCATATATGGACTGAGGAAAAGGGCCGGGCCAGCCGCCTTCTGGCGTCACGAGGCTCATTTGCATACGGGCTCGGCGGCGCGGGCTCCGCCGGGCTCGCAGCTCCCGCCTCGGATTAAGCCCGCGGGTCCCCGTGGGGGTCGGGGGCGCGCGGCCGGAGCCCGCAACGCGGGTGCGAGACGGAGGGCCTGGCGGGGAGGGGGGCGCACGGTGGCTCCAACCCAGGCTGCTAGGGGTGAGCGAGCGGGTTCGGGCGGCGGCGGCGAGGCCTCCCCCGGGGCGGGCGGGGAGGAATTCCGGTTCTCCGGGACTTTCCAAAAAAGGCGAAGATCCGGTGCCGGCGACTCCGCCTCCCCCAGCCCTTGTTTGGAGAGGCCATTCCGGAAAATTAAACTTCGGAAAGAAACCGAGCGGAGCCGAGACGCGACAGTCAAACCCCTACTCACTTTTCTTGGCAGCTCAAAACCGCAAGAAGCGCAAGGAGGCAGCGAAGAAGAAGGAGAAGAAGGAGAAGAGAGAGAGAGAGAGAGAAAAAAAAAAGAAGCTTCGTGCATTCACGGAAGCTGACTGCTTTTTTTCTGAATTACTCGGTGGAAAGAAGTGGCTGGTGATAAGAGTGCATGCGGTATTGCTTTTTTGGAAAGTCTGTTCTATTTATACTGGAGCGAAAACGGAACAGGGGTTGGGTTGTTTGTTTGTTTAAGTATTCTGGGCACCTTGGGGCCCGAGGCGGGGTCGGGGGGGGAGGGAATGAGGGAGGGAGGATAAACCCTAGGAGGAGCAGAATAATTTGGAGCTTGGAGAGAAATCCTCTCCACGCTCCAAGTCTGAGACCACCCCGCTTCCTCTGCCCGCGCGCTCCCCGCCCCCCTCCAGCTGCCGCGCGGCGCGGGCGCCCTTCCCGGCGCGTCTGGGCGGTCGGCTGTGCGGGGGCGTCCAGATGGAGGCTTGGACATTCACCCTGCCCCGCCACACACACACACACACACACACACACACACACACACTCACACACACACTCACTCTCACTCTCACACACGCTCCACTTCCGACGCACACGCTCCCGCCCCCGCCGCCTGCTGCACACACCCACTTGCACACCTTGTGCTGCGCACACACCTCCCTGCTGACAGCGAGCCCGGGCGCCCGCCCGGCCAAGGGAGAGCCCGGCCAGCAGCGCGGGGGCCCGGGGCTGGCTTGCTGGGCAGAGTGCTCTTCGAAGACACCCATCCATCCTCACCTTACTGCCTCCCCCACTGCCACTGGCAGCCCCCGGCCCGACACCTCGGGGGTGCGCCCTGTGGGCACACGTCCTGCTCCAGAACACACGTATTAGAAGGCATAGTATCCCCTTTCCTCATCCTGGAGGAGCTCAGAGACGTTCTGAAAGCAAACAGCATCCCCAATGCCAGTTTTGAGCCACGATCACCCACGACGCGTTTTTCCTTGCGATCAAAAGAAAAGAAGAACCTGACCCCAGTGCAAACCTTTCTGTTTAGGTCTCACAGCCATTAAAACACACACACACACACTTTTCAGAAATACAGAGAGCGGCGGGTTAATGGCTCCGCTGCTCGCACGGCTGCCACCTGCCCGGAGCACCCCGGCCCCCCGCACCGTGAGCGCTCCGGGCCCCGCGGGAGGCTTGTCCCCAGTGCCCAAGCCTGGCGCACCGCCGCCCGCCCGGCCTCTTCCCGCCCCAAGGCGGCCCACGTCGGGGAGACAGCGCGCGGGCAGCAGCCTCCAGGGCCCGGCCCTTTCCCGCCCGCGGGCCGGGGCCGCACCAGCCGCGTGGGGCTCGGGCGGGCGGGAGCTAGGGCGCCACGCCGTGGAAGGAGAAGGCGCTGCAGGCGGCTCTTCCGCCGCTCACCTGCCGCGGCCGCGCCGCAGCCGCAGGAGGAAGCCGAGCGGCTCCCGCCCGGCCCCGCCGAGGTCAGAGCCTCCGGGAGGCCCGGGAGGCCGGGGCTCCCCCACCGGAGCGCCGCTTCTCCCCCCGCCCGCGGCGCGATCTGCTCTCCGGGGCCGGCTCGCTCCTTCCTTCGAGCGCCCGGAGGGAAAAGTTTCTCGCTAGTTCTGCGCGCCCTTTTCCAATGGGAGATTTAAGAAAATGGAAGGAACTCGCACCCCCGTGGGTACCTCACCCTCGGCAGAAACGTGCAAAGAAAGAAAGAAAGAGAAAGAAGCCAAGAGAACTACGCGCTTACCACGTGCGCCAGCCCGTTCCGCCTGCGATCCGGCCGGTCCTGCGGCCCCCGCGCTGACCACCGGCAAGACGACGCCTCGGAGGGGAGCCCGACTCGCATCTCCAGCCCTGCGTTCAGGGGGGAAAGAAGAGGGGGGGGTGACCGACTTATGCAAATGTGGGTCGTGGCAGCGGGGTTCGGGTTGCGGCCCCCCGCAGCCTCCGAGGTGAGGCACCCACCGGTGGCGAGCGCGGGCGCGGCGGCAGCGAGCGCTTCGCTCCTCTGGGCGCACGTGGGCGGGCGGGCGGGCTGGTGGCCGGGGCCGCCCCGCTGCGGGCGCTGCCGCCAACCCCGCCGGTGGCCACCAAGCGCCGCCCCGAGGGGGAGCTCCCGGGCGCCCCGAAATCCCGCTGAGCGAGGCGCACCGGGCAGGACGCGATCTGGGGGGGCGGCTCTGGCCAGGGGGGAGCCGCGTGGGTTTGGGGGGCGGCTACCCATCCCGAAGCAGGAGGCTGGGGTGGGGGGTCCCACGGGGGAGGGGAGGGAGTCCCACGGAGGAGAGGCGGTTCGTAGGAAAAGCAAGTTAGAGTAAATGGGAGTGACCGACCCTCTGGAATGATTCGGAGCTTTCCAACAACTCCCGGAGAGCTGCGCCGAGCCAAGCCCAAGCCCCGGTGTGCAGGGTGTGCCCGGAGGTGGCAGGGAGCAGAGGCAAGCAGCAGCGGCAGAGAGGCTGTGCGGGCTCCAGGGAGGGTGCCTGGGGCCCGTCCTGGGAGGCCTTCCCTGAATCTCCACTGGAAACCGGTCAGTAGATACCTCCTGCTACCTTCTTTTTTTTTTAATTTCTTTTTTATTTTCTGAGAGTGTAATGGAACAAAACATAGGCATGCTCATTTCAAACCCAGCCACCCTATGGATCGGTAATAAATTCAGGAAGCTCAAGTGACTTGCCTAAAGTCACGCAGCTAGGAACTGGTGGTGTCCAAGTTTGCAACCCAGTCTTCTGACTCCAAGTACACTCACTGCTCTGGTCGCTATGTCCTTCCCTCGGGAAAACCCAGTCCTGGAAAGTCAACCGTTCTGTGAGGATTGGAAGCCTGGGTCAGCCTACGAGGGAAGAAACAGATGAAGTTCTCCCACTTCATCTCTTTTCTCTGGCATTTCTGAGGAGAGGAAAGCTGAGATCAGTGCTTTAAAGAGGCAAGGGGCTGACATGGACACACACACACACACACACACACACACACACACACGGAGAATTAGAATTCTTGGGCTCCTCACGTATATATGGACAGAGTGACCAGGTTGGCACAAAGCCAGCCTACTAATAGGCCCAACCCCCTACAGTATCCTTCCTGGAGGTAAGGAAAGGTGAGAAAAGAAATCGGTGAGACAGATTTTTAAAAAAATAAAAAATAAAAGTGAGACAGATAAGAACTCCAAAGGTGTTTACAGAGCAAGATACTGCGCTGGGAAGGGGTGGGGGAAGAAAAGAGGAATGTGGCAGTTGAATACCGAGATGTCATGTCCTGTACCATGGTCTCTGCATTTAGGCGCTTGAACTTATTTTGATCAAAAATTGAACAAATAAATGCCATTCTTTAAAATAGAGCTGTCAGAATGATCAGGTAAATGGGTTGGAGGAGCAAATGGATGCCAGGTTCTGGTTTGCTTTGTCCTGATTCCAGACGCAGAAAGTAAAAGAGGAAGGAAGCATGGGAGCCCTTTAGATTTCCCCCTGAGCATGGGGGGTCGGATGGGGGCGAGGAGCAGGGGAAACAGCCTGAGGGTCCTGGCTGGCCCTCAGACTCTCCTCTGTGAGTGGTTTTCAGCGTTCTCCCCCCCCCACACACACACACACAGACACTGAGAATCACAATCAGCCGTGAGGCATGTTACAAACCATTTGTATAACACTTGCATTTTGATTTATTAAGAAACATTTTGAACATCCTTGTAGACTATTTCTATTATGTCATTTTCACCCACTTTCACTTTAATACTGTTAACTGGAGTGGGAAACAGAGGAGTGTCAGGATTGCCCTTAAATGTGGACACGCACACAGGGTGTGGGTCTGAACACGAATGGTGTAGAACACAGACATCCCAAATCTTCCATCCCAGTAGATCCTTCTTCAAGGAGCCCATGTACTGAGAAAACTAACCAGTGTTTGTCTACATTTAGCAGCTCACTATGAGTCTGGTAACTCCAGAGGCTATAATCCAAGCCCAGGTTATGGCAATCAGAAATTCTTGTGAAGCCTGAGAGAAGCATTGTATCACACCAGCCAAGTGTACAACCAAAGTCTTGTTTCATTGCACAAATAATCTGGTCAAGAGGAAATAAGACCCTTGTAATCTTATTTTGTAGCAGCAGCAACAGCAGCACTAGCCTAAGCAGGGAGTGCTCAGGT